ACACATTCCTCCGGGAAAGTTTCAGTTATTAGTTCTTTCAGTTAATGGTTTCTCCAGTCAGTTTTCCTGCCTTTTTTTTTCCCCTCTCTCCTCTGCTGAGCTACCAGGTGAGGCTAGAAAAATGTCCCTTTCTCGAAACCCTTCCCAAAGACGCATATAAAAACGCTGGGACCTCTTACTGAGAGAGTTTTTTATTGTTACTTGTAGTGTGGTAGTTCACTGGAGTGTAGCAAGTGCTGCGGTGGGAAGTATTTTCATAAGAAGCTCTCAATGCTGTTTTGTGCTTGTGATAATACATTAGCTCTGGTGCGTGTTACCTTGGCCAGAAGCTTAACAGGAGTTGTCTTTGAATGTATCTGAGAAGCTATCAAGTCTTTTAGTTGAAAGTTGATAAATCTCCTTAGCAAGGAGTTTGTGATGGTGGTGATTGGACAGGATCTCCCTATCCGTGCCAAAGGAGGATAGGAGATGGTGTCGCTTCCAGGGCAGGCGTTTGGGAAGGGGCATGTCCACCCTTGTGTGGTCTCTGCCCAGGAGCCCCGAGGGGCCTTCAGCCGCCTGGGCCAGGTGTGATGTTTGCAGGGGAGCCGCTCTCCTTTCCACATGAGACCCCTTCCTGTCTGAGACCAGCACGTCTGTCACCCCTTCAGGAGGCCCCAGGTCAGAGGGCTGCTGGTGTTATGGAGCCTCCTGAGTGCTCGTAAAGCTTTCCAGACAAGGAAAAGAAGATCCCTGCTCTGAGTACGTAGGCTAAATTAAAGATAATATTGGAGGATAAACATAAAAGGAAAACAAAGCATTAAAATCAATGAGAAGGTATGTGAATACATGGAGAGGTCTGACTGAAGAAGGGCAATAAGAGACCACGGGTGGAAGTCAAAGGCCTTAATAAGAAAGGGGGGTTCAATATTCAATAGCAGGAACAAGCCCTCTTGCCAGCTGAAAGCAAGAACAGATGGAAGTTTCTTGAATAGTGTTCTCCTTGTTCTGCTCAAATTGTAAACTGTTGGTTGAATTACGTGACAGTATTCTGAATTAATTTTTAAGTGGTTATTCTAAATTCTGTATTTAAATGTAACTGCTATTTTACAGTTTTAAATTTTTCTAAAAAGCAGCCTGTCTCAGGTGTTACTGTTTCATGATGTACTAGGAAGGAAGTTTAGCTCTGTGCCCGTATTTTTTTTTCAGAGAGAACAAGAGCAGGATATGAGTGAGCTCTTGAGGTCCCTTGTTTCACCTCATTGATTTCCAAGGAACAGGATTCCACCCTGGGCAGTTGTTGTACCCACAAAAGGCAGTTTTCCAAGAAGCAGAGTACAGCTATCGTGCCCTCGAGCTCAGTCCTGGGGTTAAGCCCACCGTGTCCTCTCCCTCATGCAGCCTCTGGCTTTAATGGACATCCAGGTCCGGATAGAGGAGGAATCCCATGAAGGTGGAATCGTTGAGGTTGTCAGCGTAGACGCCGTTGCTTTCCCCTTCCCCATACACCTGGAGCCAGACTTCCTCCCCGGCGTCGAGGTGGAGCAGCACGGAGCCGCTCGCTTGGTCCAGGTTGTTCGCCTGGTACTGGTCGAAGGTGAAGAGCACGGGCCTGTCCTGCTTGTACAGGCTGACCTTGGCGTCCGCCGTGTACACCGTGAGGTGGTAGGCGAAGTAGTACATGCCCGGGATGCTGCAGCGGAACTTGCCCGTGGTCGGGTCGTAGTGCTGCTGCTCGTTGTAGAAGATCTTGCTGAACAGGATGGGCACGTTGGGGTGGGGGACTTTGCCTGTCAGCCCCACGCTGAAGGCGGAGCGGTGAACGTAGGCACCTTCCCCCTTCTCCCCTTTCATCCCCATGATCCCCGGGGCTCCGGGGAAGCCTCTTGAGCCTGGAATTCCTTGGATACCTATTTGGCCGCTGTCGCCCTTGGGGCCGTTCTCACCTAGGGGACAGAGTCGGGGTTGATGAGGTGGTTTGTGCTCGCGGCGCCCACGTGTGGGAATGCTGCGGGCTGCTTAGGAAAGGCCGAGTTACCTCAGCATCCCCAGGAAAAGCTCGTTAATTAGGAATGAGCCAAGGACCGAGGGAGGGTGCCGCGAGCAGCCGGGGCCGCGGCTCTTGAGGGTTAGTGCTTGCGGCTCCCCGCGCGCCTCACCCACCTTGCTCACCCTTCTCGCCCTTCTCCCCGTCGCGGCCGTCCTTGCCGTCGCGGCCGGGGAGCCCGTTGTGGCCGGGGGGGCCGGG